TCAGCCCCCGTCCTGCCGGCCGTTTGACGCGGTCTCAACTCAAAAGTCAAACCCTTATCTCCAAGGGAGACCCAGCGTCCCCCCGAGTACTTATTGCGCCGGCTTCCTGCTCACTCACTAGTACCTGTATATCCAAACCTTACTTTAGTTTATCGGCTTGCGAACAAAAGGCACAGGGGTCGGAAACGTGTCCACTGGCTGCACTGCACTGCACTGCACCGCACTGCATTGCACAGAAAAACAGAGACCCATTGAGCCCAGCCCAGCCAAGCCAAGCCCAGTCGGTTATCTGCCCGTCCTGTGTCGCGGCCAAACTCCCGTCGTTCCCCAGAGTCGAGTCCCCGCCCAAAGGCAGCTCTAGGCTCTAGGCTCTAGGGCTCTAGCATCCTGCAGTGGCCTTGCTGGCACCAGCGCGAGGCCTGGCAGTGGTCCTGCAGTGCATCGAGTGTGCATCGGCAGCTGTCCGTCAGCGCAACAACGGCTCCGGCTACTAACTACTGCACGGTTTAGCAGTGCCCTCGTCTCGCCCTTCCCCCGTTTAAGGAAGCCCGCTGGCTGGACCTGGACCTGGACCTGAACCTGGAAGAAAAAGCCCGAATGGCGACCAAGGTGAGTCAGCCAAAGGTACCTACAACCTCGTCTCCCTTTGTCGTCCTTGTCCCCCACTTGCTCAGTCCCAAACCCTTGCCCACTGCCAAAGTGCAAACAGCAAATCGTCGTCCCCCAGCCTGATCCCGGCGCGGAAAGACGACGTCAGAGGGGGGGCCGCTTGAAGTGTCTCAAAAGGTTGCGCCAGCCTAGCGCCCACGGAAGGAGGCTTGATTCGCCCTTAGCGGGTCACAAAGGCCTGACTCCCCACGCCTTGGCCCTCGTCCCAACCTCAGCATTGTTTCGTCCTTGCTTCTGTTCTGACCGCCGCACAATCGCTAACTGTCATCCTTCATTCTTTTCTCCAGACGCGGCTGAGGGCCTATCAAAGCTTTGCCATGCCCTCTGGATCTGCCGAAAAGGCTCAGCAGCCCGTGGGCTCGGGCTCGTCCTTTGCTGGCCCCAACCTCTACGCAGGCACAAATATTTGGTCGTCCTTCCCTCACACCAACAGAGATCGTTCTGCCGGCCCCAAAGGTGCGTATTTGTATTTGCTTTTGCTCGTCTTGTCCGTGGGATGGGCGAGATGGCCTGCCGATTGCGTCAGCGCGGCCACCCCCTCACCCTGCTTGTACCCTGCTGTACTTTACTTGGACGCACACAAACTCACCACTGTCATGATGCAGAACCAGAAGAGAATCCCTCCGGCTCGAGTGCTCTCCACGCCAATTCCGAGGTCGACGTCTGGGGCTCCAAGGCCTGGAACACAGAAAACCCTGTCCGCTCCGTCAGCAATTCTCCCGGCCGAGCACGAGATGCAGGCATTCCGAATGCCTCTCCCTTTTATGCGACTCATCACCCGACAGCCATTGGCATGAAGAAGGAGTCTTTGAGTGGCACCGGCAACTTTGTTGATGAGGCGGAGGCAGTATTCGCCTTTGCTGCTGCCGCTCAGAAGCGAGGCCCCCAAGATGCAGCCTACATGGACCCCATGGCAGCCTATGCACAGGCTCGAGATGCTGGCCTTCCGCCCTCTCGACAGTCGCAAGGCTCTCCAGCCTATGCCGAAATATATCAGGGCAGCGGCCACACTCCCAGCAACTCGATCCACTCGACTAGACAGCACCCTCTATCTTTCCCCCAGGTAGCGAACCAGCGAGCATTTGGCCTCAACGGACGGGTCGATGACGATCTCTCCCTGAGGATGACCCGTCAGATCGCTATCAGCGGTTCGCCCGGCAGCCAGGCGTTTAATCCTGCCTCGGTGCCATTCCATTCCAACCCCGCCACCGTGCCATGGGCGGGCGAGACCGGCGCCTCTAGGATTGGAAACGGCACCGAGTTTGGAACAGATGCTCACCTATTTGCCTCTTTAAGGCGCCCTTCTCTCGATAGAGTCTCGCCGGCGTCCGGCTCGACCTACCGCTTGGAGTCGGGTTCTAGCTCAAGGGCTTTCGCCCCGGGGGCGGATGCTTGGATGAGTAGGCCATCTTCACGAGGCCAGCGGACGGCCGAGCATGAGAGGAGGCCCTCTGGCCAACAGTTTTCTGGTGCATCCAACTTTCCCACGCAGTATTACCAGAACCAGTTTAGTTATGGTCAAATCGCCAACCAGTATTCACCTTCTTATCCAGAGGTGTATACACAAAACTTCCGTCCCATCATGCCCAACTATCCCAATCCTTCTGGATATTCACTCAACGCCATGACGCCAATTCGGCCTTCCCGAGACCAAGATCCCAGCAAAGGCATGCGCAGTGCCCTGCTGGATGAGTTCCGTGTCAACGGCAACAAGTCCAACAAGCGCTACGAGCTTAGGGACATTTATAACCACGCTGTGGAGTTCAGTGGAGATCAGCATGGCTCGAGGTTCATCCAGCAGAAACTAGAGTCTGCCAACAGCGATGAAAAGGAGCAGATATTCCGCGAGATTGAGCCCAACGCCCTTCAACTCATGAAAGACGTCTTTGGCAATTACGTCGTGCAAAAGTTCTTCGAATACGGAAGCCAGCTTCAGAAGAAAATCTTGGCGGAAAAGATGAAGGGGAAAGTGGTTGATCTTTCAGTTCAAGTTTATGCCTGTCGTGTGGTGCAGAAGGTGAGTGCAAACTGCCCCCTCCCTCTTCATCAGTTTTATCCCCTCTCATCGCTCACAACGTTTCTTTTAGGCCCTTGAGCACATCCTGGTCGAACAACAGGCCGAGCTGACGCGGGAACTGGAACCTGAGATCCTGCGAGTAATCAAGGATCAGAACGGCAACCATGTTGTCCAGAAGATTATTGAACTCGTCCCGAGACAGTACATTGAGTTCATCATGAACGCTGTGCGTGGGCAAGTGACGCCCCTGGCTTCCCACGCGTATGGCTGCCGAGTCATACAACGACTGCTGGAGCATGGAACCGAGGCCGATAAAGCAGAGATCATGGGTGAACTACACGCCTCAGCTCAGATTCTCATTACTGACCAGTACGGTAACTATGTTGCTCAGCACGTCATCCAGAACGGCGAGCCGGAGGATCGCGAGAGGATTATTCAGCTTGTCATGGGTCAGCTCCTCACCCTTTCCAAGCACAAGTTTGCGTCCAATGTTGTGGAGAAGTGCATTGAGTACGGCACACCAGCGCAGCGCACGACCATCCGAGAGCAGCTGACAACTACTGGGCCCGATGGAAACAACCCACTGCAGCAGATGATGAGAGACCAGTTTGGAAATTATGTTATCCGTAAGTCCCCGCCCTACAACTGACGCGATATAACCACCCAGTGTCATTTGCGATGTCGATGACGATGCGCTAACTCGTCAACAGAAAAGATGTTGGGTCAGCTACAAGGTGAAGAGAGGGAGCTCCTGGTCGAGGAGATTAAACCCCAATTTTACAGTCTTAAGAAGAGTGTGGCCTCTCGACAGATACAGGCGCTGGAGAAGCTCCTCGGATTGAGTGGCTCCAAGAGCGAATCATCTACTCAGTCAGACACCAACTCTGTGGCCGAAGTTCCCTCCCTGACGCATGAAACCAATAGCCCGCAAACCAGCAGCCCGCCCAGCACCCATGCCAGCGCGGTCGGAGTCCCATCCACTGATGCCACAGACAAAGGCTCAAGCAACCCTATCCACGGAGTGTCTGTGCAGGTGCAGGATGCCGAGTAATCGACTGCTCGTCGAGTTGTATGTTGGCTGAGCACATTCCCCAGTTTGGCTTCTTGGAAAATAAATGTATACGACAAGGACAACACTACCACCAACAACAACATGAACGACAACTGCTGCTCTATTACAAAGAAAAGGTGGCTCCGATGTGAAGGAAACATAAATTACACAAGTGCATTTGCCTGCCTTGATGGGGGAGAGGTCACGGAACGGCTGATGTCCTTCTGCAGAGCCCTCCCCTGTCGTCCTTATTTTTCTCAATGGCATGGCTAAGTGGTATTAATATTGTGCACGTCTGTTTTATTCATTCGATTATTATTCTTCTAATATTGCAAACGAAAAACGCATAGTGGCTTGGGTGCCCCTTGGCCGGCTGAACCAACGACGGCATGGGGCCAGTCGTTTCTGGATATTTGTCGGGACAAATGCGAATAAGACGTGGCGGTATATTCATCCCGGGACTTGGCATTTTTTCATGGATGACGAAACACACAAATTTGGGATTTTGTTTTTGCCCGGGGACTATTGGGAGTTTTGTTTCTTATCGTTTCCTCTTGTTTCACTCTTCTTCTTCTCTGTGTCTTCTTTTTTTCTTTCTTCTTCTTCTTTTACCTCGTCTACCGGTTTCAGCGTTTCTACTTGGTCACTCCTTTACAATGGATGTTGGGAGCCGGGCAGCACTGGGCACATAGGATAGCGAGGGATGCAAATGTACTTTATCGTTATGGTTGGGAGGCGCTGACACCTGGGTCTGGGATTACGTCCATAGAGAAGCGGTAGAAAGTCTGGGATGCTGACATGTCCCGCTACAGAATGAGGACCATTTGCTGATGCCTTATAAGTCTGCTCTATTTTCTATTTTACGGGAGTGTGATTGTCTGACGAATGGTTGTAAGAATAACTTTGGCCTTAACTATTGAGCACCTTGTATCTGGTTTTCAATTGTCATCCACCGAGCCACTCAACAGCCTTGGTACCTATTCCCCAATGACATGCATAGGGCACTCGGCACATGTTCGAGATGACAGTGGCGGATCAACGTTTTAGCGCCATTCGCCCGCCTGGGCGCTATTTTCCTGCCGCTGCGGCACTTGTTCCGACGATAGCCACTTTGTGTCCCACACACTCACTCCTTTGCCTTGCCAATGGCCTCGTTCCGCTCCTTTAATTACTTCCCAAGAGGTGCGTTGTGATGAGTCCTCCAGCCTTATAACAAGCACTCAATCTCGGGCACGACGAGACCTGAACCTGCTTTCGTTCGCCATGGCTGCGACGGGGAAACTGACGCTATTGTATCCCCAATTGCTGCGGGCTGCCACGAGGGGCTGCGGCCCAGCGAGGAGATGGGCGACGACGACCTCGGCTTCGACAACGACAACGACATCGACAACGACAACGACATCGACGGCTACGAGGTGGAATAGTTCGTTTGCAAAGAGGCACGGCAAGGCTGTCGAGCCCGCAGAATGGGAGAAGCAGCAGCTGCAGCAACAGAAGCAACAAGACACGCAAGGCCAACCGGAGCAGGACGTCTCAGCTAAGCCGACACCGGAGGACGCAGTGGCTAATAAGACGGCGGCGGCAGAGGATGCGCCAGCGGATATTCAGGCCAAGTCCGACATTGGCAAGCTTTATATCCAGGATGGCGAGAAGAAGCCAGCCCAGGTGGTGACTGATGCCCCGGAGATCGATGCCGCCGCTCTCAAGAGCGAGCAGCAGGACCCCAAGGCTGCTCAGAACCAGGCAGAGCCCAAGTCATCAGAGGCGGCGGATGCGGGAGCAGACGCAAATCCGTCGAGCGCACCCAAGCAAGCTGAATCGAGCGACGGGAGTGGAAGCGGTAGCGGGAGCTCTGACCCCAAGACCAGTAAGCCTAAAGATGGCACCAAGATGAGCGACAAGCTGGATACCGTCTATTACATGGGTGCTCCCGAGAATTTGTCAACGACTATGCCGTCCATGACCCCGCCAAAGTATATTCATCACTTTGACAGCTACTCTCTCGTCAAGCAGCTGCAGGAAGGAGGCTATTCAAGCGACCAAGCCATCACCATGATGAAGGCTGTCCGGACGATCCTGGCCCATAATCTAGACATGGCGCAGGAAAAGCTTGTCAGCAAGAGCGATATAGAAAACGTGAGGCAATGTTCCATCCCACTTTTCCTTGTCGGAGCCAGTGAAGAAGAGAGCACATGCGCTCCCTACCAAGCTAGATAATGCAAAGGGGCTGACTCTGACTGATAGGAATCTTATCTGTTCTCTGCTGCGTGTTCGGAGCTGAGCGCCGAAATCAAGAACAATCGCCGGGGCCAGGATGAGCAAATCCGGCAACAGCGCACGCATCTCCAGCACGAAGTCGACATTTTGACGCAGACCCTGAATCAGGAACTGTTGACTCTCAACGACAATGTGCGCGGCATCTTCAACGACCGCAAGATGACAGTCAGAGAAGAGCAGAAGGCGGCGGAGAGTGCTGTACGTCCTAATCGACTCGCCTGGACATTGGGAAGAGACTTTGTGATTGCTAATTGATTAGCAGATTCAACAAATCAATTACAAAATAAGCATCATGCTGAGCAGCGATTCCAAGTCGGAGATTGAAGGCGTTCGGTGGATTCTCATCCGGCGCTCCGTGGTAGGCATCCTCTTCATGGCCATTTTCACGCTGGGAACGATCCGGTACGCCACGTATGTCAGTCATGAGCGCCAGCGAGAGCAAGATCGCAAGAAGAAGGAAGAAGAGGACCTGAGAAGGGATGGCGGCAAGAGTGATCGCACCTCGGCACCTGATGCAGCAGCCATCCTGGCAGCAAACTAACGCTTTTTTCCTTCTTTTCATATCTGTTTCCACGGGATTAGTAGGGACGAGGTTTAGGCTGGTCTTTGGCCTCGGTAGGAGGAGGAGGTTGACGATGCAATGGTGTATTTATGACTGTGCTATGAATTGGGCAAAAGGAGCTCTGATACCAAACCGCGAGAGACAAGGGAAGACAAAAGAGAGTTACATGGATTTGAGGGAGGCGAGAGGAGAAAAGAAACCTGTATAAAGAGAGCATGGTTGGGAGTTGGACAGTTCATGAGTTGGCGGGAATATACTCGTATATAGATAGGTAGACATGGGTCAACGGACTACAGCATTTGGGGCAAGTGGATGGGCGGATTTGCATGGATATCGTACGGTGCTCACCCGATGTATTTATTACTCACGGTTTATTGTTTGCTGTTTTATTTTGTTGTTATACATTGGCTGGTCCAGCTAGGTGAGTAATGAGGCTGAGGATTTTTTTCCTGTTCGGATGTATATACGGTGATGATGAAGTTGAGCCCAATATGGGCGTTACATCTGAAGTAACTTACATGCAGAATGAAGTGACCAAGAAAGGCAATTGCCAGCTCACTCCACCAAAGCTGCTGTCACGTGCCGCAACCAACGTCACAAACACCCCACGTCGCGTCCCCTCCGATCGATAACGCGCTCCGATGGTACAAAGCATCTTCAACCACGATTGACTTTTGATTGCTTCTTCCTGCTTCATGCTGTGCCATAGACAATCGTTTTCCTCTTATAAACTCCCACCTCTCACAGCCTGCGAAATCGCCCAATGGCAACAACATCACAACCTCCGGCGTCCTCGGCCTCAGCGCAAATATCCACCCCCATGGAAACTGACGAAACAACACCAGACCCGACGACACAATCCCAACACCATCCCGAGGACCCCAACAACAACGACGCCCAAGCCCAAGCCCAAGCCCAAGCACAGCAACAGCAGCCCGTCGTCCCCGGCCCCCGCGCCGTCCGCCTGCAGGAGCTCTACGCGCAGAGCCTCAAGCGCACGCTGGGCAAGCTGAAATGGGACAACTTCGCCGCGTGCTACCCGACGGTGGCGGGCAAGGCCGAGCCGGTGCTGAAGCAGGTCCAGGCGCAGATGGTGGAGAAGCTGGGCGAGAAGTGCGAAGTTCGTCTCCCTTCTTTTTTTCTTCATTATTCTTCTTCTTCTTCTTCTCCTTCTTTTTTTGGTGGTGACGGTGAAAAATGTATCGTTTGGAATTGAAACTCTGACATGGTGTCGTTGTTTTGCAGAAGGAATTTGAAAGCATACTCATAACGAGACAAGTCGTCCCCAAGCTCAACGACCTGGAAACTCTCATCAGCGAAGCCACCCACCGACGCATATCAGCACCCCCCGACGCCCCCAAACCAACTCCGTGCGTTTTTTCTCTCCCTTTCCCGCCAAATACCCCCCTTTTTTAATAAGACACAAAAAAAGCAAAGTGTCGCTAATGAATTGGGAAAACCATCAATACAGACCCCATCTCCTCCCCGCCAAGGACATACTCTCCGCCCATCTCGCCCCCTCTCTCGCCTCCCACCAATCTCTGCTCAACGCGCGCCTTCAAACCGCACAGTCCCACAACGCCATACTCTACGAGACGATCCAAAGCCAGCGCGCCGAAATCGAAAAGCTGCTCGACTCGCTGGAGGCCACCGTGGGGGACGTCAAGAGCGCCAACGAGGCGCTGGAGCCCGTCGTGGCACAACTGGCTAGGGAGGCGAGGGAGGCAGACAAGACGGTCTCAGAGGAGGAATAGCAAAATCGTCGTGTGTTTTTATACGAGGCAATTTTTGAGAGTTTTAGATCTGGGCGCTATTATGATGGATAGATAGATGGTGGGCATCTGCATTGGTTGTTTGAGAGCGTCGGGTTTGATGAATTGGTTTGGATTTAGGTTTGGACTTTGCTTAAATGATACCCCACGAATTTACGTTGTTTCGGCTTTTCACTTGGCTTTACAAACTTCCACTTTCAGACATTGACGAATAAAACATCCTTGTATAAACTAAATGTATTGCGATATATACAAAAGGCTAGTGTGCAGCTATATCTAGCAAGCATGCACAAGTAAAGCCGCATTCGCACTCCCCGTCACCATGCAATGGAGATAGTTGTACATGTCTGAAATGCGCAATGGAACAACAGAGAGATATAGGAAAAGAAAAAGAGAGGGAGAATGAGAGATGAAGAAAACAAAGAGATAAACTCCGGTCCATGATGCTGTTGCCGCCGGTTATGTATGTGTAAAATGCTTCTCCCAGACGCCCCTGTATGCACAAGCAAAAGCCAACACCTTTTCCAAAAGCTCACAATGCAGAGCCAGCCCCCCTTCCATCACATGCCAGTTCTCATATGAGACACCTAAGCCTTGATAACCAGGCCTTTGTATCATGTAAAATGAAATATAGGAAAACAGGTGGACAAATCCTGTCCATGTCCATGGAGCCGATGATCGAATGTCAACGAGACTCATAATGTCCTCGGTGACATCTCACGCCTTGTGCCGGTGAGCCTGGCATATCTCAACCCATAATATATACCCGTGCCATGATGTCCCTTTCCAGTTGGGATCATCTAGTATTGACACACACTCAGCCTTGGATTCTATCCAAAGCATCTCTCTAAATCCTTCTGTTTTCGGTATGAATGACCTGCCACGGGCCAAAGTATTCTATCTCACCATAAGCTGGTGGGAGCACGCGAACCATCCTGCCCGTGCCCCAGTCGACGAACCACTGCTTCCCTTTGCTGATGATATAATTCGATTTGCGGGGGCTTCGGAACAAGAGATTGCTGTAGCAAAGTTTGGCGTATAAAAGGTCGTGAGCAGTTGACCACTGGTGCTCAGGAAACCATTTGCCCGTATGAGGATCGATGGACGGATTTGGGTATGACGACGTGCTCATGGTGTGAAATGGGTCATTTCTGGGATCGATTCTCAGGTGGGGAGCCAGAACTTCGGTACTCTGTGCCTCTTCCTCCGGGCGGGGTCGTGAAGGTGCGGGCGTCGGTGTTGGCAGAGGCGGAGGAGACGAAGGTTGTTGCTCTGCTCCATCAGGAGAGCCGGAGCTCTCGGCCTCTGGAGGAGGGTCTTGCTGAATTTCCGGCTGGGTGCTTGGGTAGACGACGCCCGTTTGGCTGCGGAACCATCGGATTCGCTGAATTCTAGGGATAGACATGTCGCGCGGGAAATCTCGCTCATCGATGGGGGCTGCAACATCAATAGCCGCAAACAAGCACTCGAGCCACTTGACAAACGTGCTTAGTTCGATACAAGACAAAAGAAACTGGTCCGTTTCAGCTCGCACCCGGATAACGTAACGACGTCTATGAGTAGAATGGGTCAGTGCATGTCATATGAGACTTTTTTCCCCTTTCTCTTCTTTCCCACTCTCAGCCCCCTCACTTGACGAGGCCTTTGTCATGATATGCGGGATATATAATAGTGAAGATGGACAAGAAACAACTCACTTTTTGTAGTCGGCAGCGATACCAGCATCAGCATGCAATAGACTATACGTCTTTTCGAGTTTCGCTCTCTTAATCCAAGGGGGATTGTCGGGACTAATGGAAGGACCATCGCGCGCCTTGCCCCAGCCCCAGTCTTTCTTGGTGTTGTAGATGCTTAGGGCGGTTCCGTTGAGGACGACAGAGACGGTATGCCACTGGCGATCTTCGGCTCTTTTGGTGGTGTTTTCGATCTCATGTTTCTTGTGAAATATGCCTTCGATGGCAATAGAGCTTGAGTAACTGGGAAGCTCTTCCGGGGCCCCAATCGTGATGTCGGAGCTACCGCGACCTTGGTCGTCGAGACCTTCGTCCACCTTGGCCACCCTGGGTTCCTTGGCTCTGCTCTTGATGCGGTCCAGCCAACTGCTCTTCACCGGTGCTTGGTCCTTGTCCTCGACCTTGTCATTCTTGTCACTCCTCTCTCCACCAGCACCATCGTCCCCTTCTCTTTGCATCATGGGCGGTAGATTGGCGTCTGGATAATCTGGTGGATGTGATGGACGCCGCTGTTGAGACAGTGTCATGATGCGCTGGTAGTGCATATCCTCCTCCATTGATAGACGCCGCCGGAGAGGCGGCGCAGACTGGGTCGGTGAGTGTCCATTCTCTCCGGCCGAGCCACGGCGGTCCATGGGGGCGGGCCCGGCTTATATGTCCCGGGGCAAACAGGAGACTGGAAGAGCGACGTCGAGGTGACGGGCGCTGAGTCGGTGTGTTGACGTAGCACTGGCAATCCGATCTGCCTCCAGTGGCGTGGGCGGCTGGTGACAGGGAACTCTATTCGTTTGCTGCTGACGGGAGGAGTCTCCTTGGATGGATCATGACCGTTTGTGCTCATAACGACCCGCCCTGGCGCATGATGAACCCGAGTGAAGATCGCAGAAAACGACAACTACGAGGACGAAACAAGAGTCTCAAGAGGAGCACGGTGGGGAGGGGTGAAGGGCGAAATGGAGAGACGAGACAGGAAACAAGAACGGGGCCGTGGTCGCAATGAGGTGCTGGTGCTGGCTGGAGCCCTGCACGGTGGCTCTTTTGTTAGTGTCGATGAGACCCGTTGTGGGCTTCGATGGGTGAATCTTGTCGGGTATTGCACTGGACCCGATGCGTCGCGTTCCCTCTCCTGGTTACCAGGAAGAGTCGGAAAGCTTATGCGAAGCGGATTCCAATGTTGCGCTGCGCTGACACGGGAGGTGCTTGTTTGAGGAAACGTGCGGGTGGCGAGCAAGACTTTTGCGGCGTCTATGGTGGTAGTGCTTGTAGGTAGCAGCACGGAGGATAGCAGGTCGTTAGCGGCGCAGGCGAATGAGCGTCGGCGACAGAACGGACACGGCACGCTTTGGCATTTCATGTAAGTCAACGCCAGGGGTTTGGCCAAGGGGGTGTCGCCGCGAGTGCAGCTGCAGCTGTGGGGATGGGCGTGGACCGAGGATCCAGACGAAGCCGCGCCACGACGACGACGACTCTGACGAGCATCAGATTCGATTCACTACCGTGGAAGCCCTTTGGGACCAAACGGGACCCTTTTTGCCAGCTGAGCCGCTTTCGGGAGCCTGACCCGGGAGAGCCGTGCTAACAGTAGCCCGGTGGCCAACGGGGCGCTGGGGAACCGCCACTACTGGCTGAGGCGGTTCCTTGCTCCAGCGGCTTCGTATTTTTGTGATTTTTTGGGTTTGTGCGCCTTTGATGCGGACGCGGATGTACCTGAAGTCCGTGAGCGATGCTCCGATGAGGGCGATGACGATGATGATTCCTACCGAACAATGAGAGATGAGAGCGGCAGTTCAGTTCTGGTCGGCGATGGGTTAAGGAGGCTGACGAGACGAGCATTGAAGAATAGTATTGATTGGTGTTTCAAGAGGAGAGATCCAGCAGCTGAGAAAGGACAGGCAGCGAACAGATTCCCCACAATTGTGCAAATACTATGGATTTAGGAGCGACTGGTATGGGGTACTTGCAAGGGTTAGCGAACTGTGTGCAGCAACCAGCTAACGAGAGCCAGCAGTCGGGTACAGGTACTCGGGACTGATGGCGACAGCGAGAGAGCGAGGTACCTGGTATTTGTGCTAATCTCGAAGCGATCTGCCCATCTCTTTCCCTTTGAGGCTCATTTACAAGTAGGTACCAGCTGCCAGCACTACTAGGAAGGAGCCCGGTAATGATAGGTAGTAATAATGCTCCAATTCTACTAGAAACCGTGTGCTCTTGTATTGATTCAAACAATGCATGACTCTCTGTACTCCAGGCCAGTTCCAGTGCTAGCAATATAATCGTACGTGTCGCCAATCATTACAGGAATACTAAGCAAAGGTACCTCCGTGCAGCGTGACAAGAGAAAATACTCGTACAGTAGCACTCCGTAATATGCTGGTGTAAAATGACGCCCCTTTGCCCACTCACAGGCTGTTATTTCTGGGCTGACCCGGGCCCTCTCAAAAAGTTCCTGCTGGGCTCTACAACTAAATACCGAGCACAGACCAACTTGCCCGCAGCGCACAATTGGAAAAAAGGGAAAGGGCCACTGGAAAAAAGAAAAAGAGGGCCCGGCCACTTGGGTTTGTTGGCTCCTTCTCTCTCCCCCCCGCCTGGGAAAATGCTGCTTGGAGCGCTAAGCCTTGCGCGGTAGGTGCGACGCAGGGCGTGTGGAAGGCGGGGTTTGAAATGAAGTGAAGCTGTATACATACGAGTACATACAGTTGATACTGGATAAGGTACCTTTTTGTTCTTTTGGCTTAGCAGGCAGGTTATAGCGCATGTAAATCTCATATATCATACCTACTATAACTGCTAAGGTTATTGCATTCATACTACCATATATATGTATAAACTTGGCTAATCCTCCGGAAGACAAGTATGGAGTATGCAACCCATACAGCATCAAATTAATCAATAAAGAATAAAAAAACTCTGGGGGAAAACACAACCCTTAACCGCCGGATTGGGCAGATCCCCCCTTCGGGCAGGTTCGCACTGGCAAAAGGGCCGGCGAATCACGCGGCTGCGTCGGCGCCGAATCGCGAACAAGCTTATGTGCCAAGTGCCAAGTGATGGGATCCTCTGGTCTCGGAGATGGGCGATTTCCCGCTAGCGAGGGCGTTGAAATACATGTACCTACGAGTGCAAGTAGTACTCTCTGTGATGCGCTGTGCTGTGCTGTGCTGTGCTGTGCTGTGCCGTGGCTCGTATCCCCCGATATTGAGGCCAAAAAAAGATTGACGCCCTCTCTCGCTGTCGTTTACAGTTGACGGTACATGTACTTACATAGGCTCTGTACCCATTTTGCCATGTAGAGAAATGCAAGAAGCATAATCATCCTTCTTTTTTATTTTATTTTGTCTGCGGGTTTCTTCTTTCTGCCTTATACGCTTGGATGTCCGTCCCGTACGGCCCGAGTCTGTACATCTAAGGCGTTGGTGCCTTTCTCGTTTGGGTAGTCGCCGATGAATTGCACCTCTATTATTGGATACTGTTTTTTTAATCTGGTTTCATCTGCTTCAATTTCCCTCGTTCTGTGCCAACAGCAGCAGCGCCATCAATTCTCTCGCCCGCAGCATCCCATCATCAACATCATCATCACATACAGGTCGTATGTGATGTAAACTTACTATAAACAACACTCGCTGTGTACCCATTTCTTCTTGTCCTGCGGTTACGCCAATTGTGCTAACGGCAGGGTCCGTTTCCCCTAAGGCATTTTACATATTGATACCCCCCCCCTCTCTTCAAACCACTTCAGGCCGCACACCCCCCTCCAGCATCTCGGAACTTTTGGACGTGCCCAGGCACCTTTGAAAGCCGCATCCCATCCCCCATTCAAGGAGCCCTGCTGCCATTGTCACGTCCCGCCGGTTGGCTGCTTTGCAACTCCGACCCCCGCAATATGTATTGGTAATTGGTAATGGGACGAGACGGAGGCAGTGGCTCTATGTAGCTGTGTCTTTTCTCCACAAGATGAGTTACTTTACTGTATTGGAACGGGCACGCCATACATACGATACGATACGATGCTATGCTACCTGGTACCAAAGTATGGACTGGACTGGACAAGCACAGCACTCGTCAGGGGTGCAGCATTTCTAGAGCATCATGTGCAGAGCGGTCTTGTGAACCTGTCACAATCTACCTTATGTAAATGCGTGTGCGTGTACGGAATAGGTACGTGTGATTACGGCAGTTGGGTAAGCCGTAGAGTGTCCTGTACTCGTACCTACATACCATCGCCATGTATCATCTCATGTCAGACAATGGTTAGGTTCTGATATCCATAATACTTGCAGGTTCTTCCAGGTCGCTAGAAGAGCCTAACGGGGATACTATGACTACTAGGTACCTATTCCCATTATACACTTTAATTGCAAGAGAATCCTGAAGCGGACTTCGGCTCCGATCATAATTCCCCGACATGGCAAATTGTGGCTCTGGCAAGTCTTAGCACCCGGATTTGCTGCCCGTTGAAGTACGTGTGGCTCTGCGCATAAACAGATCCGTCGCATGCCCGGTCGGTCGTCCGATTTCCTTCTACTACTAGCAGCAGCCCATACAGTAGCTTGACCTAGGGAGCCTTAGTAGGATATACGAGTACGTACGAGTAGTCTAGGTACCAGGTAGAGGTAAGCAAAACATCTAATCAACCCGTTCCCATCTCTGCGTCGTCTCTACATACAGTCGAAGCCCGATATCGCCTCGCAAACATTGAGTGAGATACCGAAAACCGTCATAACCGCCGGTACATGTCTGAAACGCCCTCTCACCTACAGTACACGATGTACTTGCTTGTAAATCTGCCATGTCACATAGTAATGTACTTGTCAACTTGTGTATCTTGCTACCGGCACCGCACCTTCGATAGCCGGCGGCAATGTCTTTTGGTTTCCTGACAGAGGCATGATCGGCCGTTACGGACTCCGAAACGAACAAGACTCGCTGCTCTTTTTTATTGTGTCTCGTCTTCGGTACGTGGATGCACTGTATACCTGGTTCAAATGAATATAGGATTCAAGAGAAATGCACCCCTACTCCTACATACATGGCTTTGCTCATGGGTTCATGCCACGCCAATCAGTTTCCAGTCGAAGGAGGAGCCCTAGCATCAGCAAACCTTGTCGTGGACATTCGACTCATCTGCAACCGTGCCGGTACTTCCGCCGGCACCTGGGCCTTAGCAGCCGATCTGATTACCTACAAGCATCAAGCATCAAGCCTACAGGTATGTAATCATAGGATGGACAGTACGTGTTGATACGACTTACACTGTCTTACAAGAGGCGTCGAATCCTTCTTGATCAACCGGCATTCACTGCTTGTGTCGTCGTTGTAACTCTTCTTACCTGTCACATCATGCAGACCAGAGGCCATTGCAAGAGCATGAACACAACAGCCCACCGTTGGCTCCTAGCCGCGTCAATCACTTTTTGATCCTCTGCAATGCAAACTCCCTTGTCTTGCGCTGTTTTTGATTCCATCCGCTGCATTTTTCCCCTTCTTCTCGAAAGCCCACGCCCCCTTCTTTTCCCTCCCCCACCGCTTTAGGCAGTTGATCAATCTGGTTGAAAAAGAGTCATGTCCATGTTCCGTCCTTGTTTGCGCATCCGCATGTGGCCTTTCCAAATGCCGATCCGAACTGACGCCTTAGTCTGCGCCTCTGCCGGCATTGCAAGGCTGCTCTTGTGAGACAAGAAGTCGAGTCAGTCGCTTGAAACACATGGAAGGCTTCAAAGGGAGTTGCGCAGCCGTGTTTTTGGTGCTGACGATTACCATGTTGCTTCTCGTAATGATTACAGCATAACAGTATCGAGCAGGTAGTAGAGAGAGAGAAGTAAAGTAACCCTGATGGAGAACTTTTGCGCTCCCGCTGGACTTGACTTGTTCGATGTGGGCGGGATTCCGTCCGTCCCCATGCCGTAACAACGGCCCTCAGAAAACCCGCGAACAACAACGGAGCAAGAATAGAATGGGCGAATATGACGCATACGCCGAGAGAGGCCTGCGAATTTTCCATTGTCTCTCTTCCTCCCATTCCAACGAACCCATTGGCCCGCCGAGACAAGGGCATGTCCGGGGCCGTTTGGAAATAACTACTACTCGTATAGTTGCAGCATCCCGTCCCGTTTGATTGGCCGGCGGAACCACTTACAAAAGGGCCTTGGTTTCCACGGCGGATGCACCAACGGGGATTCAATCTTGTCCACGGCCGACAAAGTTCCATTTGCTTTGTTTTGCATCCTGTCGGGTCATCGGCAGGCTGGCCTTGGGGTGCGGACAAATACAGGTACCTACAATACACCCTTGCTTGGTTGCTACAGTGGGTCAGCAAAAGTCAAGACGACCCCACAGTATACACTAAAACACAACCTTTATAAATAATATTATAGCACTAAGAATATAATTAAAATTATTATAAAAATAGTTTTTTAATATTTTAATATAATAATAATTATAATAATTATTTTATTATATATTTTTCCTTAACTAATACTTATAAATTCTAGCTTAAAGTTACTTATTTTTGGAATTTAGTTTACGCACTGTCCCTAGTGGGCTTATAGCGGGCTTATAGTGTAAAATACAGTGTATACACTAGCGTAAATTTTTACTATATATTTATAATATTATTAAAGAATTAAGGAATAATAGTAGTTTAAAAATAATTACTTTATTATATAATATTATTATTTAAGTACTTATATTAATATTATTTTTTAAATTCTTATTAGGCTTATAGGATATATAAGGGAGTGACAGGTATAGATTTCCTTAGGCATTAGGTGATGCACTGTGGGGCTCGTCGTCACTTTTGCGTCCCCACTGTAGTATGGAGGACATACAGATTGGCAAGCCCCCGCCCTCTTCATGTTTGTAAGTAGCAAATGCTTCAGGTAACCATTTTACAACTCTTTATACTTCTCCCATCTATCAAAGACCGCCCACAACCTTATGCGCAATCTTCCGAATCAAAGCATCCCGGTCGCGGAACCACTGTGGGGACTTGGCCAAGTCAGCCCTCCGTCTTGGACAGCTTACTACCACCACCCGTGGCGCCGACAATGAGACCAAGCATGGAGAAAGGCGCAGATGCCGGATCTTTGATGATGTCTGAAATGGCTACAGCAGCGTTACCATCCTCACTAATGAGAATCGCGATGTGGGCTACAGCTGTGGCGCTTCCCACGACAGGGCCAAGAGCTTCGCCGACAAGGCAGCGCCATGAAGACAAAGGTGAGGATCTTAAAGATGAGCTAGCGCTTCTTCTCTTCTTTGGCTCGCTCGCCAATGTCCTTAATCTCCTTCATGCTATCGATGGACTCTACCAGCTAGATCACAGGTATGGCATGGACGACAATGGCGTCAAACTCGGTGCCAACCACCGTGGTATCTCGGTATATTTCGAGGCCTACCGTAACCCACGTGGCGAAGAGCGACTCCTGCATGGTAGTAATCTTGGTCCATGCATTCTCAATCATCTCTTTAGGGTTGGCCACCACCATGTCGTCGTCAGAGGCTTTGACAGGCACATTGAGCCGGCGCTGGAAGATGCGTCTGCATGGAGGAGCCGAGCCGCTTCCTCCTGGGCTCATGGGTTCATCTTCGGCGTTTGCAGCGCAGTTGTAGTCCTTGCCTCGGTCTTCCCAAGCAATCCACGACTTATCGATGCCCAGCGTGGCAGAGACATCGTCGAAGAAGCCGTCTTCATCCACAAGCTCGTACTCAATGCTAAACGTCTACTCCAAATTCCAGATTAAAAATACCATCACAGCAAATCCTAGCCTCTCAGCGGATTAAAAGACGAAAATGAGAGGCTGTGTCAATGACTATAATAGCAAGAAGTCGGGCTTGAGCCAATGTAAAAGCTATTCATGCACTGGATAGGCTCCACGATACCTTGACCTACCCCCTCAGGCAATGCCCACAATACCGAACAACTGGATCATGCGACACAATGGAAGTGACTCACAGAGGATATTTTCATATATTTACAAACCTTCCTGGCATCTAGATAGCAGTTGAACTTCTATGATTGGCAAACTGTCCCACAAACGGCATGTTTCATTATCCAAAGAGAGCTGCTTGTGTATTTGTGAAAGCCTCTAGCCCTATATATCTATAACTCAAGAAAGCTCCGCCAGTTCCGCATACACGAGGTTGTCAAACCAGTCACTTCGACGATCCGGCGGTAGCGGTATATCGCGTACCAGGCCGACATTTCCGTTTACATCACAGTCGTCTGTGCAAAGAAGGAACTGGATTTTTGGTGTTACTCTTGGCAGCTCTTTCTTTGCTTGTTTCACCCAAGGGTGATGATTGTCGAATGTGTGTCCTTGGACGTCATGTATGCTATTCATGTAGACATGGGTTTGATCTTCCAGTAGAGGCGGACTCCAGATCAAACCTGGATCCCCCTCGATTGGGATGGAGTTCCAGAAGCGTTTATTCGCACGCCGCCATGCGTTAGCCATCATAAGCCAGTCGACCTTTTCTCTCCAGCTTTCCACATGAGAATGAAATCCAGGGGATAAGATGGATGCAAATTGCTTGGATACTTCCGGTCGCTTGTCATTGCAGCAGCCTTTTTGAAAGAGGGAGTAGAACTGCTCAAGGCGTTCATGATCGTCGAAATCCACTAGCTGCACTGGAGCATCAAGAAGCATTCCAAACAAGCCAGAGTCCGTAGCCTGCTCTTTAGTAGCGTGAATACAGATGAAAGTTAAAGTAGCAGACTCGGAGACCCCTGTATACGGCCTCTCTATATAACTTGCAAATTCATCGTAAGGGTCGTCCGGGCTATACTCGTTGAGTGGTTTCCCATTGATTTCAAGAATCGGACACTTCGGAAAAGGGACTTTTCCTGGCTCTAGGGCGAATGGGTAAAAGTATTCGGCTCTTAGCGAGACTGGCATCATATCCAATCGATAGAATCCCTCCTCAAGAAAGTCAAACATTGTTTCCAAATAATCCTCATCGTCCCAAATATAGCGAATATCGCAATTGAGATTATAGCGATCCAGACGAGGTTGGATCCAGATCGGTCCTATGTTCAATCGAAAGTCTTGCGTAATTAATTTACCCCATTTCCTGACAACGTGTCTTGATTCGCGACAGACTGAGGCAATAAGTGGTAGAGCGGCATTCTGACAAGTCGGCCGTATAGACCAGCATTTTTGCTCTTCGCGAACTTCAACAAGGTAAAAAGGGTCATCTCTTTGGACAACTCGACGAGGAAGGCAATACAACCATATTTGTAAACGTATCTCTGAAGGTAAGAGGGGAAATTGGGGAAATTTTGGAATCGTTGACTGTGTTCCCATGGCGGGCGAGTAACGTATATCCTTAAGTTGGATAGGTGTAGGTCTATAGGGAGTAAGATGGGGAAATAAAGCTCCATTGTTGCTTGCGTAGACGAGGTAGCTTAAGTACATGTACTTTGATGATTATTACTAAGCTTTCTGTAAGATATTACATGAGATATTAGTGGCTCAAATGCATACAAGTTTGATGTACGCCAAGGCGTTCATACGCAAATAACTCACGGTGGCGCCCCTTAATCAACGAATTTGTATTAGATCTAGTAAAGCTTGATGCGTAAGTTAGCAGCATCTGCAGGAGACAATGGCGGCAAGTCTGCCAATGATTAGGCAATTGGCAGGGAGATGTAAACGAGGATATAAAAATGAGTCCCGCCGTTGTTAGCAGTTGGGCCAACGCTGTTGGGTGCCGTGGGGGCCAAAATGATCTTCTCGAGTCTGTGGAAAAGTAATCTCAATTTCTCTCATCACTATCTATACATATGAGCCGCTAATTATTTATACGACCTTTCATTAAGGTAACGCATACATGAAGAGTCAGGTAGAGTCCGCCTCGTGCGTTTGGTGGTCTCTCACATATCTAAGCATGAGTTCCAGCTGAGGGCGCCCCATTGCTGCTGTTAAAGTGAGGGCTCTTTTGGCTGTTCGCAGCTCGAAGAGCGCTACTCTTTGCCAATCCGTTGTGGCAGCCGTTGAAAACAAGCTCACCGATCCCAGGATATCCATTTATTCCCGTAGCCTTCTCCAGTCTGGTAGCCAGATCATCCGACACTTCGCGGAAGATACCAATCTGGCGTCGAATAATTTCATTTTCAGTGCAAGTGCTCATGTGACCGGCCATATTGTTGATGAATCGCTCCTTGGCGGCATCATCAAAAACTCTCTCCCAAAGGGCGCGAGGTTGGTTGAAATCTTCCGATCTGATCTCGGACAGGAAAGTAATAGCTCTGCCGACGAAAGCACCATGAGTCTGATCCAGATTCGTCTTGCGCTCCTTGAAGAAAATGGGCTCAATTGATGAGAAATAGTTTGGCCTTGACCCCTGGTTGTAGAAGGCCATGGCACCATCTCGCTGGAAGTTGGCCATGTGATAGCCTGTGCGAGGGGCGTTAACAGGAAGTTGTTGGTAGTTTGGTCCAAGACGATGGCGCTGGGTGTCGGGATACGAGAACAAGCGGCTCTGAAGAACAGGGTCGGAAGAGGGTTCGATTCCTTAATTGATTCACTGTTAGAAGTTTCTCGTGTGATATCTACTTTATGTTATGAGAAATATTTACTTACCGGGAACAAGATGAGATGGGCTAAAAGCAACTTGCTCAATCTCGGCAAAGTAGTTCTTCACGTTCTCATTCAAGCAAAGCTCTCCAACCTTTCGGAGAGGGAACTGACCCTGGGGCCAGCAGTGAGTAAGGTCAAAGACGTTAATCTTCTGGGTCTCCCACAGTTCTTCAGCTTGCTTTGGGGTCATAGTCTGCACACATAGATCCCACTGAGGATATTCGCCACGCTCGATGGCTTGATAGAGATCCTTCTGGTTGGCATCTGGAGAACGCTTTGTCGATTCTTCCTGGGTTAGGAATCCGGCGCCCTGCTTCGAGCGGATGTGGATCTGGCAGTACACCCATGAACCTCGCTGATTGACGAACCTGAAGGTGTGGCCACTATATCCATGCATACGGCGCCAGCTATCAGGAATACCACGATCGCCAAAAGTATACATGACTTGGTGGACAGATTCGGGGTTCTGACAGAAGTACTCCCAAAAGTTGGTAGAGTCATCACCGCTGCCGAGGTGGCTTGCGGGGTGTCTCTTCTGGGTGTGAATCAAGTGAGGAAACTTGGCAGGATCTCGAATGAAAAAGACGGGCGTGTTGTTTTGGACAAGATCCCAGTTGCCCTCCTCGGTGCGAAACTTGATTGAGAAGCCTCGAGGATCTCGAGCATGGTCGTGAGAACCGCTTTCGCCACCAACAGTTGAAAATCGAATGGTGATGGGGCACTCTTTGCCTTCAGCAGAAAAGACGTCTGCGAGGCAGAGATCGTCGAGCGGGTTCGTGGTTTTGTAGTAACCGTGAGCACCACCGCCCTTTGCGTGGACAACTCTCTCTGGGATCCTCTCTCGGTCAAAGTGTGAGAGAAGATCAATCAGGTGAAAGTCTTGAAGAAGCAAAGGACCATTCTCTCCAGCACGTTGAGTTTCTACATACAATAATTAGTACAGTCGGATACTTGTAGTAATTGATAATAGGATAGAGTTGAGTACAGTGTCACATACCAAAAGGATGAGGAATTGGCGCTCCATTGCTGGCTGTATACACCGTTTGCTGGGATGCAGTGTTGCGATCTTCGATGTAGTTTAGGTGCAAGTCACCTGTGCAAGTCATTAGTATCAATCGCACAAAACTTGGAGATATAATGCTGAATCCGCTCTACATACCATTCTGGCGGCCTGATACAGCGTACGATGTAGAACTCATGGCTCAAGTAAGTTGTAAGTCTTTCTTTGTAAGAGAAGGAAATACTACTAAGATGATCTGAATGATTTTTTTTTATTCTAACGCCCCTTACTAGTGAGCAGCTTTCCGTCCTTATATACATCATCATCATATGCTCTCAATATCATTTGTTTGTCGCTTCGGCCGAGAGTCATCCGTGTAAGTGATGCCGGTGACGTACCTGCGCCATCCGGCTCAACCATGTGGTTGCTCAATCATCATCATCGCCATTGGCTCGTGTGGCTCAACCTTCGCTGGCTGTCAGCAAATGTGGCAAAGCTCGCCTCGGCCGACTTCGCCGGGGATGAGGCTAGTCCATCCTCGGGAACAGATGGCGAGGCTTTACCTGTTTTGCGCAATTCGAAGCGCTCATGTACTTGTTCACGCTCACATAACATTTCGTAAGCCCTGGCTATCCGTTCAAGTGCCGGCAGTCTCCTGGTGTTTTCAAGATAGCAATCGAGATGTAGATTTTCACGGCAGTTACGTCGGTTCGATGGCCTGATGATTCGTACATACGAAATACGCCCGATGCCAGATGATGCAACAGTTCCAGGCAGCAACGCGGTGTATGGAACCGCGAAGGTATAAATCAGTCGATCAGTTTAATGTAGCTGTGCTCATTCTGCTGTCATCCGCACAAGCTACTGCAGAAATATGCTAAATACCTTGAGATTGGAGACTTAACTGTACCCGATTGCTGATGTGTCAATCTCTGCAACGAGAAGGCATATCGTTGTCATGTGAATTTGGATATATTTGCAGGCAGATCAATACACAGCCAATGTAGGTAAATTTTTCAATAATCAAGACAACTCTGGGCTGCTTCCCTTTGTAATACTGTTGGTAACTCAATATCGTGACCAAGTATGTATATTAAGTATATGTGGTGGAGTACAACTTGCTTCGGTCGACGGCAATACTTTCCCATGTTCTCGTATTGGGTAAATTAATGAGCCCCTAGGTCCAATACTAGACTCTTTGAAGCTTACCCTTTATGAATCTACCGATTGGCAGCTGAATTGACCATTCGTTTATAGATCATCACCGATTGGTTCGGCATTGGCACCCAGTACACTATTATTCCCCCACAACTTCTACCACTATGTTGCTGTGCTCTCTGGCTGATCTCTATGTGTATAGATGCAACAATTTCATAAAACAAGATTTTCCTTACTTTGATAAGGCAGCTATTTTAAGTATCGAAATATTAATATAATGTAATATGAAGCTACTGGCCATGATTACCAGTCTCAGGCCAAATATTCTCAATCGGACATAAGCTATATAACCTCGGCCACGATCGAGAGTTCCATAATCAAGGCACATCACTATTGTAGACTACTTGTACGAGATAAAACAACACCTAATGCTTCATAGATAGGCGAGATTAGCGACTGTAGCGGTGATGCATTCTCTCTATATATGTTGATATCTCAATCAAGAGGATCGAGCCAATAGCCATCCGCAGCGAGAGGCTATTCCTCAAACAGTAATCAACAGCGAGCAGACCAAGGGGATGAATGACATCGAAATGCAATTCTCCCAGGAGACAATCAACTTCCAAGGGCTAAATGTACACTCAATGTATTGAATTGGAGCACGTTGATGTTCAAATCAAGCAGCCATTATCGGGCAAAAGTGAGAGAAAAAGGAAGAAGAACTGCATAATTACCTAGACAGCAAAAAAAAAAACGTTTCCTTAGATGATGTAGCTACAGTTAAATTGGTCTAACATTGAACGTATTGCCCACAATTCGCCGGGGCTGAAATAAAGACGACTTACACTCTCGCCTGTATCTTTTATACTTTCTTTAATTTCTCAAGTCTCTTACTAATCTTTAATATCTCATTATAGACCCGCCTGGTGTCTGCTGATTCATTTGCAATAAGCGACCGCCATTAATATGATCACGAAGGACGTGATTGAGGTTGAACCTCGTCTCCGAAGAGCGAGTTTGCCAGTTGCTCGCGACTGGACGACTAAGAATCCACTCAGAAGTAAACTGCTCCTCCATTGACCGTTGCTCATCATATACCTCAATCTCTCGCTTCGCTGCACTATCCTCATCCAGCTCGGGAGAGAAGCGTGCATGAGCAATGGGATAGTAGGTAAGTGTATCCCTGTTGATCCAACCGCTGTTGAATCGAGAGGGCTTAGCATAATAGCACACAAAGCCCTGAGCATTTGTCTCTGGGATCAGCATCGAGATGATCCGCAGGGCTGGGTTAGGATATCGCTCGATCCTATCAGTCGACAGCAAGTTATGGCTAAGTTCCATCTTATGCAGAACTTTGAGGCTAGCAGACAGCACGAAGCCGTTGAAAAGTCCTTGTTCTCCAATCTGCTTCATCAACTGCGCGATCCAACGTAGCCAAGATGGCTGAGGACTGCACTGTCCTGTGATGTAGAGAATAGGCAAGAAACTCTTGTCCATCTCCTCGCTAGCAACAGGCGCGTCTGTAGAATATGTGCCATTGGGCAGCGTCCTCAGGCTATTGTTCGCTGTGTGTGTTGCTGCAAACCGCATAGTTTGGTAAAAGTATATGTAAGCCTCAGACTCCATCTTCTTCGCGTCTTGGTTTTTATCATAGAGGCAGAGAGTCCACATTATGCGTGCCCTGAGAAAGTTGTACATTGCCCCGGAAATGCATAGGTTTGGTGGCATCGCCAAAAAGGGAGACGGGGGGATTGGGAAATGGTATTCTTCCAAACTCTCGAGACTGGCTAGGGCTGCCGTATCTGCCTCCAAATAGGGATGAAGATGACCATGGACATCCTTCCATTCCCGTAGATTACGCTGCAGTCGGTAGACCTTTTCTAATAATACGGATGGCTCTTGGCGTACCGGTGTAAGGGTCCATATCTCGTCATGAACTCCAGAGTCAATTAAGATCTGTATCAAGCTACGTTGCAGAAACGAAGTGCTTGGTGCAATGTACCCTGTAGCCGTCGTACGGCCAACAGAGAGTAGCATGCTGGGAAGTGGCACTGCCATGTAACAAGTCCACGTGAGAGTCTGCAGGGCTGTTCCCAGAGAGTCGAGTACAAGGTCATCCACATGTGCCGGTGTGTTAGTCTTGAGGGCTGTAAAGTAATAGTTGGCGGTGCAGACATGGCTATACGCCGCAGGGATATTGCTTGCAAAGCACTATAGTCATGTTATTAAACCCGCGTGTTAGACAAGTTGATCTGCTGGCCCTTTCCGGCCGGGCTTTCAGCTCGAGCGCCATTTGACTTACCTCAAAGTAGGCCATGAGAACTAAGACGGCTGATAAAACCTCTAATTGTTTCTCGGCCTCATCTAGCCGACTTGACAGTTCCTGCAGTGCCTGGGTGTATGCCTGGACGGCAATGACTTTGGTGTCCAACCCACGGGCCTGGTCGTTCTCGCCAAGCATGGATATCATGAGAGCGGCACGATGCATACAGCCTAGAGCCAGCAACCCCCGCTGGGCATACTCGAGACACCAGGCCTCGTCACAGACACGATCCCTCCAGAATGGCAAGTGGTCAGCTGGGAACAGCATCGGCAGCGTCCGGAAGAAGAACTGGTGATAGGCCAGGATCTCCCTGGAAGCAGCACAGGGGCGCTGTGACAGCCGCGGATTGCTTGGTAGGCCAACCAGGGGCAGGCCATCATGGCGGAATTGAGGCCGGGGCAGGATGCAGGCGGCGGGATGAGTGGACGGAGCGGAAGCCGGGCCGGACGGCGGACCGGACGGGGTGGAACCCGGAGGGCCCTGCGGCGAGTAATGAAGGCGGTCTGAGCGGACATCATCATCTTCGACATCGGCCGGCGAGCTCTGCTGCGACTGAGACGCTCGCGATGGCATGCGCACGTCGATGTGCCGCTTGGGCGCGTATCCGGCACACTCGACATTGGCAATGGTGCAGCGGTTGCAGGCGGGCTTCCGCTCGTCACACTTGACTCGCCGGGCCCGACACGTGAGGCAGCCAGTGCGCGTGCGTCTCTTAATCTCGCTCATGGTTGAGGGCTCAGCTCGGACAAGGCTCCTTGATTCGTTCGTTGCGCCTCCAATCCTTCCGTCACGGTGAGATGTTTTGCTCGAGCGAAGCGAGCTAAGCGTCAGCCCAGCCTTACGGAGTCGCGGAGTCGCGCAGCGCTTGCGTCCATTAGGTAATTTTGGAGACGTTCAAGGCGTTTGATTAGAATGGGGAATGCGGGGAGTTTCCGTGCCTTCGCGAGTGTAGCGTGCTTAGACGATATTGCCGAGGCTGCCGAGGTTGTGAGATCTCTCTCCCCGTACACGTAGACGGAGTGGATGGAGAGCCCTGAATGCCCCCCTGTAAACCCCGAGTCCTGCAGCAGAATCTTTGGTACAGTATTTGCTTTGGTTGAGTCAGTTGCTTGGATAGAGGCGAGAATACCAAGAGTCTCTTCTCCGCATTTCTTCATGCGGCAATTTAGTGCAGCTCTATGTCTGGATTCGTGTTCAGTGTTGCTGTATAACTACAAGCTGTTGGGTCCTCCTTGGCGATTTGGGGAAGAAATGACATTCATTAAAGCCAACAAGCGCCATCTTATCTTTATCTGTTATAAACCTTTTGTATCTGATCAAAGACACAAGCCACAGCGAAGCCTTTTATAAACCTTTACCTTACCGTACAATGTCTCACTCTCAAATACAAACGGAGAACCGAGAACTACCCTTGAACCAGCCTGAAAACTGGCAGGTCAAGTTCCCTCGATACATGGTGGAGCTTCCCGAACATGTCCATGATGTAAATGTTTCCTATATTGGTATTCAGCCCCGATATGAAGATAACCCTGCCAGCGGACTACATACCGAGCTGAATACTCACGTCACTTCTACCGCTCAGAGGACGGCCGCTGCGAAAATCGAGGAATGGATTCGACAGGGAGGTGGAGAACTGTCACCAATTTTATGGGAGAAGGTTTACGTGGAGGCTGGCTATGATGTTCCGGACACTGAAATATACATTCTTTATTGGATTGATAAAGACATCGCCAAGGCTGCTAACAAGAGCTTGAGCCTGCAACAACTCCATAAAACACTATCTCCCTCTGATCAAGAGGTAGTCGGCCTATGGAGAGAATCATTCACAGTTCCCAAACAGAGATTCGAAACAATATATTCTGGAAACGACTATCAGCCGGGCATCGCTTCCCTTGAGGGCGCACACCAAGTCAGCCACAAGTTCACCGGCTATTGGGGAGCAGCCCGCGATAGATTTCCAGCATCATCGCATGATCCTTTCGAGTCAGAGTACAAACTCAGCCCTCCAAACTTTGAGAAAGATAGCAAAGGCCGCGTCATTGAGGGGGAAAACAAGGTGTCCGTCCTTCACATCCGGTCTGGCCAATATTGGGAGCGGTGCAAAGACGACGAGAGAGAAGCATACGAAAACACCCTTGAGCCAGTATTAAGAGCTGGGATGACTTATCTGGAGGAAAATTCGGCGGAATCAGGAGACATTGGGCTGCGCTTCTCTCGGAATTTGACCACAAATCGGCTGCTTCAGGCAGAAGAGGCTCAACAGTTGGCTTCATTGAACGGCATTGGAAGCACAGTGGTGAATGGACTGACAAACCTTGTCAAGAGTTATGCTAAGTATCTGATTGGAACCAATGGTGCAAATGGCGTACACAAGGAAAATGGAACGAACGGTACGAACGAATTCAATAATAAGAATGGTTCCGACCGCACCAACGGCATACACCAGACCAACGGAGCAAATGGAACGCACGAGACGCATAGCTCTAATAGCTCCAACAGCTCCAACGGCACAGACGCCACGAATGTCAATGGCTCCAATGGTGTCTCCAAAGTAGACAAATTCGGCCTCGTTGTGACAACGGAGCGACGGAGGCGCGAGACTTGTAGCAGTGGCTTCTTCCGATCGCTCAAGGACATCGAGACATGGGCTTCCAAGCACAAGTCGCATCACAAAATCTTTCACGGAGCGCATTCGCATTCTCAACAGTTTGGCAAGGAGACGTTTAAGATGCGCACGTGGCACGAGGTCTCGGCTTTGAAGCCGGGTGAGGTGACGTTTGAGTACATTAATTGTTATCCAAGGACAGGCTTGATTCCCTTTTTTGAAGTGTGAGGTGGTGTTTAGGATTGATAGATGAGTAGATTACGAGCATTGAAGCCGTAACATAGCATGGAATGTATTTATATTTGAGAGACCAACTGGTTGCATCCTTTCCCATAATGTGATACTCAAGCACTGTTCAAGTCAGTCTCAGACAACATCCCGGGTACGTGCAGTTGGCTTGCCTATCAACAAGCTTCATATTTACATCAATGATATATGTATCTCCAAAAAATTACTCAAGGTTCAAATTCATCAAAAGGACGAAGCAATTAATGCAACGGGTATGTTGCATGGTTACCCAACTACGATGAAAGATTTCGGGAAACAATCACGTAGACAAGTGCTGCTCACCCATACAATCATACAATCCAGAGTTCTCTTAGCTAATGCGCAATGAAAGACGTCATAAATATTGGAGCAAGTAACGTAGTAATTGAATGAAGCCGAATATTAATTTTTTTCTATCCCATCTAGAAACCTTGAAAGTAAAGACTATTAAATCACTGCCGCTTCGCCTTTCGCTATGCATCTCTTAACCACTGCCCTTCAGTTTACTGCTGAGTAGGCAGCAGAACAACTCTGTACTGCACCTTGCTTGCCTCAAGACGCTCAAATGCCTTGTTAATACCCTCTTCCGACATCTCAAACCTCTCAATTACAGGCTTAATCTTGTGCAGAGCAGCAAACTCCAACATCTTGCGGTGGATATTGCGAGAAGCGACAAGAGAGCCGTGGATGGTGATGCCGTTCATGATGAGGGGCATGTAAGGAATCTCCAGGTTGTCGGAAGAGACGGAAAGAGGATAGATGCGGGCGCGAGTGGAGAGCATAGGCAGGATCTTGTCCCACGAAGGCTGGGCGGAAGTGGTCACCAAGAGGCGCGAAATCTTCCAGTCGCCGAGCTGCTGATCAGTGTTGCCGTTGTTCATGGCGACAAATCTGTGTGCGCCGAGCTTTGTAGCATCGTCCTTCTTGCTATCGGAACCAGAAAGGACGACAACGCGGCAACCAAGCTTGGCTGCAAACTGGATAGCAATGTGGCCAAGGCCGCCGACGCCCATGATGCCGACAGTGTCGTTGGAGTCGACGTCGTGCAGAGCAGTGAAGACGGTGGCGCCGGCGCACTGAAGAGGAGCGGCATCCTCGTCGCTCATGTCCTCGGGGATGGGGTGGAGGAAGGCCTCTCGCACGAGGGCGTGGGAACCAAAGCTGCCCCGGTTCACGTTCTCCGCGTCACCGTAGATAACACGCTCTTTGCAGTAGATATCCTGGCCCTGAAGACAGTCGAGACAGTGGCCACAGCTGTCGGTCTGGTATCCCCAGCCTACTCGGTCGCCCTTCTTGAGATATGTGACACCGGGGCCCGTCTCCTCAATAATACCGACACCTTCGTGACCCAAAGCGTTCTCGCCATGTTTCTAGAGGCATTTGTGTTAGCATTTGTTGAGGAGTGCGGTCTCGCATCTGGGGTTGAGTCACTTACATAGTGCACATCGGTGAAGCACATTCCCGAGGCGATTATCCGCAGAAACACCTGGTCGCCAGTGAGCTGCTCAGGCTTGGTCGCACTGTTGGACTTGACATTGCCGTCCTTGGCTCCAGTGTAGACGGTAAAAGAAGTCATTGTGGTTGTTGTGTGAGTTGGCGCAGAGATGGTTGTTGTGTGAGTTGGCGCAGAGATGGTGGTTGTGAATGAATTGGCGCAGAGATGGGTATTGGTGTAAGTGGTTGTTGTTGTTGTTGTTGGTTAATTAATCAATAGAGCATGGGAATGTAGCTGGTTTGGGATGCTGTGTATCAAGTGTGTTCAAGAAGCTGGATGCTGTTGTTTGTTGTTTGTTGTTTGTTGTTTTTCTGAATGATGCAAAACAGTTTCACAGCTCCTCATCCAAGACTTATATACCTGTTGATGGCTCATTCATCCACATCCTGTTTCATCATCATCAACCCCCTTACATCATGGCGGAAGTTCCCATGCTGTGGTCCGTTACGCCTACACCAACGCCCCCAAACCTTAGCAGATCCCGAGCTCCATTAGTGGTCCGCTCCTCTCGCATGCTTCGCTTGGATCGGCCGATTGGGCGTGCTGACCCGCAAGCAGCGCCGTCATTGATTGACTTCGGCTAGGATGGAGACCGAATGCCGCCCAGCTTGAGAGCAGCTTCTGCGACAAGCTGTTTGTTTGTTTACTATTTGCTTCTGGAACAGGACTTGCGTTTCCGGAGCTTGAAATTGAAGGAAGCTGGTCGGAGTTGAGAATGCATTGAAACCGGCAACATTGCAGTTGCAGTTGGCTATGGCTCTCTGTGTCTGCTATTATCAGGGCGGGTTTTTTCTTTCTTTGTTTGATTACTCCATGTCTGCGCTTTACATGATGTATGTCTATCGCGACTAACACATGCATTAAGCCCTGATAGATGCATCTATTTTGCCGCGATCAAGAAAACAACTCTTCATTTCCTAGTTTCACCCAATTAAAATTCAATGCAACTTATCTTGGCATGATTTGATTTCCAACGCCCAACGCCCAATGCCAACATATCAACGTCAACTGCCCAAATGCGGTCTGGAGCATTCCCGGCAGACGAGCATGACGACACGCAACTTGGTCGGAAGTTTCCGTTCGGCAGTGAAGCCGATTTTCCTCTGCTGAGTGAGTCTGCTTAGTGAGCGACCACAATTGGAATGGCACGGATTCTAGGCACAGGGGGATGACGAACCTGTCAGATTCGATAAATGATGAAAAGTTTTAGACGCGGCAAGATTGTCTTGATTGTGTTATCTAGTCGCACTTTAATGGATCTATGTTTTGACAGGTTCTAGAAGCTGCGCTAACATCAGCAATGGCACTGCCTCCCACGTGTAGCAAAACTTTGGACCCTCGAGAGACAAGATAACATGCCGCTATCCGATTTCCAATCAGCCCAACTTCTCCAGAATTGATACATAATATTCACACCAGTAATAGAAACACTATTCTGGATCCGAATTTATTTCCTCGGCAGCGTCTCCTTGCCGAGAGCCTCCAGCCCCTGCTGCAAATCCCGTGTCAACTCCTTCAACGTTTCAATAACGACGCTCAGTCTAACTAGCCTCTGGCCAATACTCGTGTTCGTCATGGCCCGCCATTCTATCAGGCTTTTAATACCTCCAAGACTCGTCGTGTGCTGCAAAAAACGAAGCTTTCTTGGTAGTCGTTTTGCTAAATCCGCATCCTTTAGGGTAATAGAGAAAACAGGTCCATACCCATTGGACATCTGTCTCCATAGCCAGCTACTCTCCTCCGTTGCCTCGGCCTGCAAGCTTGCATGATGAACCCGTTCAACCACTCGATGCACAGCAGTGGATGAATCCTGAAGCTGGCCATCATGTCAAGATACTAGTGCTGTTGCGGTAGCACTTTGTCTTGTAACTCGGAGCTCAAGAGTCCGCAGAGATCGCATTCCAAGCCAGTTTTCCAGATTGCCTGCGACTGACCCCAAATATACATGATCACTATGTAGCTTCAAAAGAAAGTCATGCTTGAGGTCCAAAAGTAGCATCAACAGTCAAAATGCCCCCGCATCATGTGCCTTGACCGCATAATATTGTAGATTAATGGCCTCTTCAGTCGGATTAAGTGGTGTCTCAATATGAATGATATCGCCAGGTTGTAACTCAGAGGCATCGCAGTCCAGAGGCAACGTCTCCAGACCAGTCATGCGAGAGACCATTTTGATAACACCATGGCAGCCATGATATCCCTCGCCAATATCAATACGACTCGGATTCAAAAGGACGAGAATTGCGTGGAAAGACACCAAGCCAGATGAATAAGTGAGAGCTGGCCCACCCAATATGGAGGTCAACAAGTTCATCTGGCTCATCTGCGAAACAATATGTTGTGCTTGTGTGCAGCGCGGGAGCCATTGCAGAGTGACTGTCGACATTGGCATCGACATGAACCGCGCGGGTTGCCAGTGATGAGCCATTTTGCCGCTTATAATCTCCAGAGAGCTGTTTAATCCTGTTCAGGTCCATGCTTTGATATTACTCTTTCGGTGATTATTGTTGAACCTTTTTGTTAGATCGATTGGCGCGATTGGCACGCCGTCTCCATCTGCAAAAACTGGAGATATACGTGCTCTATCATTAAATGATCAAGGTCGGAGATCTCATGTTTATTGACACCATGTTAGTCTTTATTGCCTCATAGAGCCGGATACATCAATGCATCGCTTTGTCTCCATGTGTAGACACAGCTTGATGAAGGTGTGATTCGCCTGTATCGCTTATCTCGTCTATATACGTTCAGATCCGGATGTATGGGCTGTTCTGGAAGCTTTGTGTTTCCTTACCCCATGCGCCTAAATACATGTAGTTGGCTTTTGTTGAATGGAGATTTCAGTGCAGAGCCGAAACAGTGACATAACGCGTCCGTTCGCCTTTAGAAGACGGTCATGGCTATGTAGGGGGTTGCACTTAGTAACCTACAGGTGCATGTAGTCACCTTCTTTCAGATGGGTTGATGCTGAGAGAGGGAATTTAATGGCATAGTAGAAGCGATATCACTTGCCCCGACACTCCTCAAGATCGATCTATATACCTGAGTGAATTGCCAACTGGTACCCAAGTAAGTGGACGAGGCAGGTCATCATCCAATATCGTCAGGGAGCGAAACGCATAACTTCAGTGCTCTATCATGTTTCCTGGCAACCGAGGGCGAAAAAATGGGAGGCTGTGACAAAAATGAGGAAGAACGCTGAGGTGGATGGCTCTTTATCTTTACTATTATTTGCCAAACGTATTTGGTGCCCATCTATTTCGATGGCATTCGATTAGCCGCAGCTGACTGGAATCAAGAGAGTGGCTTAACACAGGCGGTACAACAAGTGAGGTAGCTACATGTATTTAGGACGAAACATGGGTACCGTCAACGAGATGCAAAAGTGCTGATTTAGCAACACTTTCGCTACCAAGAAGCTGGTTTCTCAGTTACGTACTATGACAATCACGGGTATTTGCTTTTA